GCAGCAGCATCACCTGGCACCTGGTTGCAAATTCTTGGGCCCCATCTTCGATCTACTAAGCCAGAAACTGGGACCATGGGACAAGGCAAACTGGGACAATGGAACAAAATTGTGACGACTAAGGCTTTAAATGCATTCACTTGAAATATGCCTCGAAAGACCAGGACATGAAACAACTATTTTGAAGGCACAAAGACCCCTCCAAGGCAATAACATACTCAGCAACTGAATTGGGGTCAATAAAAGGTATTAATATCTCATTTCACCAATGAGAACATTGAAGCCGAAAAGGCCAATGACTCCAGAGAGACCAACCAAGGAAGAGTAATAAAACAAGAACCTATATTCTAAGTAACAGCTTCCTTCCGACGGGCAGCCAGCTTCCAAACCCAGGCTTCTGAAACAGCAACATGAGAACATGCTGGTGAGTTTTGAGACATGCCTGAAAACTGGATAATCTTTTCTGAGAGATCAAAACAGCACATGTCTCACTGTCAAAACTATCATAAGCTGCCACATTTTACGAAAATAAACAATGAAGTTGTATTTGTTAACTCTCTCCAGACTCCCAGTGTCAGCAGAGGCTAGAGCCCAACACCCACAGGCCACAGGGGTCACTGTCTAAAAACAGCCAACCTCCAAACTGTCCCTACAAAGGAAGGAAATACCACCTGTGCAATTGCTTCGGTGCAAAGCGAGACAATGTAAAGAACTAATCCCAAGCAGGACTTCAGAACCGGGGACAGAACAGAAGTGCTTTGGGATGTGACAGTGTAACATAATGGGTAAAAGTATGGGAGGTGGATCTAGGGGGCCCAGCTTCAAAACCCAGATCTCTTATTGCCTACAAAAGTAGGTGTTTTAACCTCTGTGGCAGACTACAACTGGTCCCCCAAATCCATTCTTCCCGAAGCTGGAGAATGGCCATGCCACTAGACGGTATAGATGTAAGGTCATATGATCAAGTTCTAGTCAATAAAACAGGAAAGGAAATGATGTGCCCCACTTCCATATCTTTCTAAGTAAAAGGAATTTGCTTGTTCTGTCCTCTACTCCTTTCTCCTACCAGCCAGGTGAAATGAGAATATGAAATACCCGACTTCAACCACATCAAAGAGGACAACATCCTAAGGGATGAGGAGCCACAAGATGGAAGGAACCCGGGTCCCTGGATTATCACATACAACAGAGCTGCTCCATCAGTTCGGACTGTATTTTGGTATCTTTTTGTTACAGTAGCTTAGTCCATACCTTAACTAATACATCCTATGTGCAACTGGGGGAGAAAAAAATTGGAATGAACAGAAGGAAGTCAATGTGAGGCCACTGTAAGGAAAGAAGATTCATGGATCGGTTGTGACTCAGAGCAAGGGCAGCCTGAAGACACATGGCATGAAAAACATTAACACAAAGCCAGCAAGCTTTAAGAATCTCACAAAGGGCTTAGATGCAACAATACTACAAGTAGTGAGTTGCAAAACAATGGTTTCTTTGTAAAGACCAGCTCCTTCCTGGAAGGACACTGGTGAAGGCATCTGTTATACAGAATTGAACAGATTTCATCATGAACCAGATCAACAAAGCACTGTTTCCATGGGCTGCCTGCCAGAACACAGAACTAGCCTTGTTATATAGAACCAGACATTAATACAATGGACTTCATTGAAATTTTCTATACGCCAGAAAATGGCAAGCCACATTCATTGGTATGTAACGACAAATAAATTTTTAACCATCAAATTTCAAAAGGATCCAAGTTCAATTTCCCTGCACTGCACTCCAAATTTTGAAAATCCCACTGGATCTAACTTGAATTACATACTTTAGAGAATAAAACTCCTACTACTAATGTGTGATTTCCATAACACAGTAAGTAAATCTGTATGTAAATCAATTTCTATGAAATTAATCAGACATTCGTTGAATAAACGCATCTTAAGCATTTACTTGGGGAAGCACCACAGGAAGCAAGGGAAACAGAATCCCTCCATTAGTGGAGAGAGGTGTAGCCTGGTAGGGTAGCCCCACACCCACTCATGAAGAGGACACACAGGGTGTTATGAGTATGCAGCCAGAAGGGCAACCCTCCCGGAAGAAGAGAGGCCAGGATGAGTTTCTGGAAGAAGTGATACCTGGCCCAAGTCCAGAAGGAGAAATAGGAGTTAGCCTGGGAAACAGGGAAAGAGGGAACAGCGTGGAGAAAGGTCAGAGGCCAGATCAAAGAACCAAAGGAAGGTCAGGATGAATGTAAAGTAAAAACAAAGAAATGGTAAGCAACAAGCCTAGAGGGGTATATATGAAAAAGGCCTTGGAAACCACATGGAAGAGTCTGGACTTTATCCAGAGGGCAGCAGGGAGTCTTAAAGGGTTTTAACAGTGGGATGACTTGGCTGCAGTGTGTAGAAGACCTGGGGGAAGGGCAAGACAGATGGCAGGGAGAACACTTAGGAGGTTACTGCAGTAATGCAGGCAAAAAAAGATGGCAGCCGGAACTCACCCAGTCGAAGCAAGAATGGAGAGAAGAGACAGCTTTGAGAAATATATAGGTCACCGATTCCTACTTGTTTTATTCACTGATTTCTAAATGTATCTTCAATTAAACTGCATTTGCATTACAAGTGAACGTTCAACTGCCCGAGAGCTTAGGATAATTTATGTTTCCCCAAACTTCAAAGGTTTGGTGATCTATAAGTGGTCAATAGATACAATGGAATTTTGGTACTTCACGATACCAATATAGATCTACGGTCCCCTTATCTTGTGGCAGAATGTATTTCCAGATGCAGAAATGTTCAGATTTTAGAAAAGTAAAATGGTGCATATACTTTATGTTATGTAACACCCTAGGGTATGGCTTGAGATATCACCCTGTAATCAAATGCAATCAAAATCACAATTTTTTGGCAAAATTACAAATAGTCATACTAAAGGGAATGAAGAAGAGATTCAGGTCAGGTTTTGCTGCCAAATAAGTAACTAAGGAACTTGAGGTTATTCAGAGCTCTGGGCATTTCAGAATTGCAGATAAAGAATGGGGGATCTATAATCATATCTTAGTTCCAATGCTGAGTTTATAAGAAAACTGTACCCTTAGCAAGCATTTTACTCCAAATTACCAACATACTTGCGAAGAGAATGCAGACAGGGAAATAATTACAAGATCCCATCAGCAATACCCAACTGAGCTATGAAAGAAGGGTGTAAAAATGTCATTGCAGCCAGGTATCAATGTGCTGAGGCAACTAGAACTCCAGGAGACAGCTGTTTTGAGATCATTCCCCTCTTGTAAGATGGCGGCTAGAAAACCTGGAAAGATGGTCATTAAGCTAGGAATGCTAATGCCAGGGGCAACATCCAGATGGAAGCCCCACAGACAAAAGGCCCAAAAAAATGAAGCCCCCTGCCACTGGGAGGTCTCTTAGCAGAGGAGAGGCTGATATTCCCAGACCATAAGGCATTCCAGTTAGGCTGTGCCCAAGAGGAAGTCCACAGCAGTTAATTACACCATTAAAAAGAAAAAGGGAAGGTCTACCACTAGGACAAAGTCAATTGGTAGGGATAAAAATGGTGGCACCAAAGAGGTTAAAATTTTTGAAATGACCAGGTATTACCCTCTTGAAGATGCACTTTGAAAAGTGTTGAGCCATGAAAACAAAAATAGAAACAAAACTACTAGTCAACACAAAGGAAACTACAAGCTGGTATCACTCCCAGGGCCCCTCTGGTCATCCTCATTGGCCACCCGAATACAAGCAATGTCAACCACCAGTTGTCATCACTGTCACATAGAACACTTAGAATTTGTCATCACCTCTACCATGTGGTTAGTGCAAGGCCAATCTCCTAATGCATTTGTATATAAACATTCTTGCTCAGAAGGCTAGGTGGGGCTGGGGAGGAGGTGTGGGAGGTACTTCTTTACCAGCAATAGGTTCTCAACGAATAGGAAACCAAATAAAGTGCTTATTACAGGTCAGAAATAAAGGCAATAAAGTCCCCCAAAACTATCCAGTGGAAGTTTAAGATAAATTGGAATCCAACCCTCTCTTACCCTTTCCTCTTACATGAGCCTCTATAAGAGTTTCTCTCCATTCAAGGTAACAGTATGATAGTCTTGTTTTAAGGGCTTAATCAGGAACAAAAATTGTGTCCGGGATAAATTTTTTTACTTTAGGAATCTAAGCCCCCAAGAACCTAAACAAGGCTCCAGAATTAATTTTAGTATTGTGAAAGTTATGCTACACGTATATCAGAAATACTATGGCATTGTTCAAAAGAACAAGGCAGATCTGTATGTACTGACATGGAAAAATGTCCGGGGTAAATTGCTGAAAGGCAAAAAGCAAGCTGAAGAAAAGAGTAGAAAGTAATATACAAGTTTCATAAAACAAACTATATACATGTGTTATAAATACAGACATGGAAATATTTTTTCCATGAGGATCAGGAAGAATATACATAACCAATAATAGGTTCCCCTAGGGAAAGGGATTAGAAAGAAAGGTAGAGAACTTTCCCTATTTCATACAGTTCTGCAGTGTTTGCATCTTCTTAAAATAACTGTGCATTATCTCAATTTTTAAAAATTAAAAAATTTAAATGATGTTCACTAGACTTAGTGGTTGATCATTTCGCAGTATATACAAATACTGAATCATTACACTGTACACCTGAAGCTAATGTAATGTTGTATGTCAATTATGTCTCAAAAAAAAAAAAAATTAAAGCAAGAGTCTATTAAAGGTAGTATCAGACTATTTCCAAATAAATGATTTCTCATTATTGCCCTTTAAGCCACAGCTACAATACTCAACAACAAATGGGGCTGTTTCTAAATGGGATAGCCCTTCATCTTTAGGACAAGGAGAACAGGGAGACACCTTAAAGTCAGGACAGCAACTCAACAGACCATATGGACAAGAAACACATCCGATTCTAGGTCTATGATATCTGAGTATCAGCATTGGACTAATTCCAGAGAGATGGATGAAAAGACTCACCAGATAAAGGTTATTTTTGTCCTGAAAGGCGTACTGTAACTGGGGAATCCAAGGGCTTGTGCTCTGAGATAATATGTTCCGTTCTTCCTCAAAAAATGAAACCTAGGGGGAAAAGAAACCCTTTAGACAATTATAATATAAAGAACAAAGTGTTGGGGGAGGGGTGAATGTCCCAACCTCTCTCTTTAAGCCTAAACTGATGTCTCTAGTTTAAGAAAAGAAAAACCATCCCTTAGCCCAGCACTCCACAAATTTCATTCATTCGTCTACTTTGCTCATGGTTTTTGCCAGATCTGTGTATTATCTGTCCAATTATTTACTTTTGTCCTTAAAGCAACTCACTTCTTTTGAATCTAAATATCTCCCTCTTTTTCTTCTTCACCTTCTCTCCCTGAATAATTCAGTCCTAAATCCATTAGGTGGAACAGAACAAGGTAAGCATCCATAACAGGTAGTAGGGAGAGTGGGACACAGTGGCCCAGAACAGGGTGCCAGGCCCAAGCAGGGTGAGGAGGGCGGCAACTATGTGTGGGGGCAGGGGGCGGGGCGAGGCAGTCCAATATCAGGTATCAAGGGCCCAAATAGGGTGAGGAAGGCATCCACAGGCAGTGATAGCCTGGAACGGGGCATCTAAGCCTACCAATGAGAAGAGTGGCAGCAAAGAGAGTAGACTGGATACACACAGATGCATAAAACAAGCTAAAATATTATGGGTGGTATCAGAGAAGGGAGCTACAAACACAGAAAGGGTGAACACTAGAATACACTCAGGGAAGTTGGACTGGACCTGGACGTATTGGTATGAACACATGGTTTTTCAATATACAGAGATGGAGAAATAGAGAAATAAATGTGTGTGTGTGTGTGTGTGTGCGCGCACGCGCACACAAGTAGCTATATTAAATACCTGAATTTCTATTCTCTAGCTCTGCTCACTGAAAGGGATCTGGAAGCAGTGACACTCCAACAGCAATAAGGACACCTAGTACCCGGATCTTGGTTTCTAAATACCATTTTACACTAAAAGGAACAGGCACCCTTTGAGAAAGGTCTGATTGCAAGGGTGGGGCAGGCAAGGTAAAAGCACAAGAGCTTTAACATCTTGCACCAGAAAGCAAGACAGTAACTCAAAGATGGGGATGCATCAAAAGACACAGAAATCAACCTGAAGAGATTCTCATGGCCCAGCTTAGAGGACGATTTGAGTATAAAAATACATAATGACAGGAATGGCTTCTAATTCATTGACTTAAACAGGAACATGCAAGTCCATACAGCTATAAATTAAGAACCTGAAAGTTTTATGAGGATCGGGTATTTCCACAGTCTGAAAGCACCTCCTTACAGAATACTCATGTAATGACGAAGAAAGGGGTGACCCTACAGTGGAGAAGCACGGCCGATACCTAAGTGAACATCGACATGAATGGGACAAACTGAAATGGGGTCACCCGGTGGGGCTCGATGAGAAGAATAGAGCATCTTGTCTGTGATATTCTTGCCAAAGATCTAAACCTGAATGAACCTGAGCAACATTAAACATATCTGTATGTTTACAAAATAACTGGCCTGTAATCTTCAGAATGGCCAAGGTCATGAGAGTCCAGGGAAAACTGAGAAGCTGGTCCAGACTGAAAAAGACTAAAAAGACAGGACAACTAAATGTTATGTGTGATCCTGAGCTTGACCCTTTTGCTCTAAAAGACCATGAAACAGTTGGTGGATCATGAACGGGGTCTTAGGATTAGATGGCAGTCATGTAGCATTGTGTCTTTTCCAATAGTGATGGCTGTATTGTGGTTCACAGGAGAGCGTCCTTCTTATAGGAAATGCACACTGAAGTATTTGGAGGTAACGGGGCACCACTGGCAACATGTTTTCAAATGGCTCAGGAAGAAAAAAGTTGTTCATAGTTTGTGATAGTTTTATATGTCAACTTAGCTAGGCTATGGCACCGCTAATCTCAAGCATTGCTGTGAAGATATTTTGTAGATATGGTTAACAAGTCAACATCTACAATCAGTTGACTTTAGTAAAGGAGATGATCCTTCCTGGGTGGGTCTCAGCCAATCATATGAAAGAACAAAAGTGAGGCTTCCCTGATAAAGAAGAAATTCTGCCTCAAGTTTGCATTATCAGTTCTTGTGCAAGAGTTTCCAGCTCATTGGCCTCCCCTACAGATTTCAGATTTTACAGTCCTTACAATTGGGTAAGTCATCCATACACGTGTATGTATGGATATTCAATGTGTAGATATATATATGTTTAATGTGCATATTTTTATATATTATAGAATCCTGGCTGATACACTGTGCTTGCAACTTTTCTATAAATCTGTGACTATTTCAAAATAAAAATTATTTAACTTTAGGGGCACCTGGGTAACTCAGTTAAGCGTCCGACTCTTGGTTTTGGCACAGGTCATGGTCTCATAGTTCGTGAGATCAAGCCCTACATCGGGCTCTGTGCTGACAGAATGCAGCCTGTTTCATTCTCTCTCTCCCTCGCTCTCTGCCCCTCTCCCGCTCTTGCTCTCTCAAAATAAATAAAACTTCAAAAAAGTAGTAATAATTTAACTTTAAATATGCCTTCTTCCATTTATTTTAACATCTATAAAACTCCCAGGTTTTAACACGCTAGTTAATATTAGACTACTAAACACCTCAAAATAGTTTTGTCCATGTACTACCTAAAATCATCTTGCATACCACCAGTGCTATATGGAACACATTCCGGAAACAACCCAACTTCTGTAATCTCCTGCACCTGATCTGTGGTCCTTCTTTCCTGGCACATAAAAGGTGTTCAGTGAAGGTTGGCTGAACTGAGAAGCCTACATCTTCATTTGCTCACCATTGGCTCCTCATCTGACCCCTGAAGCCCCCATTAAAATAAACAGTCTCAGGCGCCTGGGTGGCTCAGTCAGTTAAGATCTGACTTTGGCTCAGGTGATGATCTCACAGTTCGTGAGTTCGAGCCCCCCATCAGACTCTGTGCTGACAGCCCAGAGCTTGCTTCAGATTCTGTATCTCCTTCTCTCTGCCTCTCCCCCACTTGCACTCTCTCTAAAAAATAAACATTAAAAAATTATTTTTATTTTTTTTTAAATAAAATAAATGGTCTCTGAGGACTCTTCTGGTTCTCACAGAGCCCTGAACAGGTGTGCTGGCCTCTCCTAGGTGATAGGTCTTGCTTACAGGATGTCGCCTCTCTCTACCTCCTTCTCTGGCATTTCCTTTCATTCACACCCTGTGCTGGTTTTTCTCTTCTCATGCCCTTAAATTATGAAGCCTTGCCATGGCTCAATTAAAGACTCTTCTTTTATTCACCCTCTTAAGGAATGGTTGGGTAGCTTTTATTAGTTCCTGGATGTGTATTATTTTTAAAATCCCCCAGCCCACACCTCACACAGGGTCATCGTGAGTCATTCACCGGAAGGAAGGCACCCTATCTGCACATCTCTGTCGCTTGCCTGCAGTGCAGTATATTAGATTGTTTTCTTTTTACATGCACTACTTCCCACCTAAAACAGAAGCGTTGCAAGGTCAGGGCTACACTTCATGCCTCCCCTCAAGGACCCAGAAGCACACCACACACAACAGGTGCTCAGTAAGTTTGTACCGAGGATAGGTGGCTGCTTAGATACTGGGAGGTTAAGTGAACACCTCCCATTCCTCCCTTCCAAATGATCGGCAACGTCCTGTCATTTCTCCTTCCTGTGAAGTAGCTCACATTTCACTGCTAAACACAGGCTACATCATTCTCAGACTCTGACAAGCAGCTTCCTGCCCTCCGCTGCTTCTTTGACTGGAGGCCACGCAAAGCCACTGAGTCCTCAGACTCTGATCCCAACCTCCTCCTTCCAAAAGTGTAAATGATCCCCAGCTGCCTCACAAAGTGAGCTGCCATTCCAAGCAGTTCTTGGGGGAATGAGGAGTTAACATTTAATAGGTACAGAGTTTCTGTTTGGGAGGATGAGAAAATTCTAGAAATAGTGGCTATGGTTGCACAACATTGGTAAATGCACTTAAGGCCAGTGAATTGTACCCTAAGAAGGATTAAAAGACCCTAATTAAATAATTAAATAATTAAATAATTAATTACAACCCTAATTAAATAATTACAACCCTAATTTTAGGGGCACCTGGGTGGCTCAGTCAGTTAAGTGCCCAACTTTGGTTCCGCTCATGATCTCATGACTCAGGAGTTTGATCCCCGCATCGGGCTCTGTGCTGACAGCTCAGAGCCTGGAGCCGGCTTCAGGTTCTGTGTCTCCCTCTCTCTCTGCCCTTCCCCCACTTGCGCTCTGTCTCTCTCTCTCTCTCTCAAAAATAAAAAAAAAAAATTAAAAAAAATTTTAAACAGTAAATTTTATGTTATGTATATTTTGCCACAATAAAAAAAAGGTCTACTAGGGCTTCATGGCGAAGTCGGTTAAGCGTCCACTTCAGCTGTCACGATTCAGCGTCCTCATGAGTTCATTGAGCGCCGCCAGGTTTTGGTTGATGGTTTGCAGCCTGAGCTTGTTTCCATTCTGTGTGTCCCTCTCTCTCTCTTGCCCCTCCCCTATCTATGCTCTGTTTCTGTCCCAAAATAAATGTTAAAAAAAATTATTAAAAAAAAAAAAGGTTCATCAGATTTCCCACCAATTACCCTCTCCCCACCCAAATGTCTCATTTCTCCCCATTTTCTAGTCCCATCTGTTCTAAACCACTAAGGAAACACACACACACACACACACACACACACATCTGTACAGCATTCTAGTATTCAAACCTCCAGAACGTCACACATACACTTCCACCTGCCACACTCCTGTCACGTCTCTCCGCCCAGAACCTGCATTCGCTCTCAGCAGTGTGAACCTCCCCTAACCGTCCCTGGCTCACTCACATCTCTCCTCACTCCCCAGCTGGTGAATTTGCTAACTGCTCTCCCTTCTGTGATGTTTAGCGGCTAAGCGCCTGCTTTATACATTTGCATTTTTTCTCCACTTTCCAAAGTTGTTTTTAAAACCCTGCAACTAACGGCCATGGAGCTTCAATTCCTTTCACGGGCTTCCCACGGAGCCGGGTACATTATCAGACACATGATGTGTGCTCCGACGTCTGTAACTAATAAATTGCTCTGAACGCCAAGGCTGATGGCAGTCTCTCTAGAAACTCGGCAAATGAATCGATATGTCTGGAGCAGCAGCCTTGTTTAAAAGAAAGAAAAACACCATGACCATAAAAAAGAAGTTCTTACCTGCTCTCAAACAAGCAACACTCTCGCCACAGGACAATTTTATTTAATTTCTTCAAAGGCCTGTTTTAAAATCAAACACATATGCCCACAACACAAGTGTAGAAAATGTGCACACAACCATATGCTGCCTAACCCCACAATGTGCACATGTCGAAACTGCCAGCTGACAGTCATAAAGGGTCATCTTAAATTCATTAGTTAAAAGGCCACGTTGATTCTGAATAAAATACAACTATAGAAACACAATAAAGCAATCGCGGGAAGCTTGTGAGCCCTCAAAATGAGTCAGTATCAGTTCAAGAAAAGCTGAGAACGGGAGAGCTCTTTCTGCAACTGTAATTAACCAAAGAGTCGCCGAGGATATCTTGCTCAATCCCAGATGTCAATTCAGCAGATGATTGCCTCTGCAGTGAACATGCTGGTACAGGAAGGGGAAAGGGTGTGGTGTGAAAATGCTCCTACCTGCTCTTGGGCCAACAAGGCCGTCTTCTTCATGACCTTCATGGCATAGACGTCGCCAGTTGCTCGCTCTCTTACCACCTGCACTTCAGCAAAGTGACCACAGCCCACGAGACTTCGGACTTCAAAGTCTTTTGCTGAAGGCTGGAGCTCCTGTAACTCAGCGATGGTGTCGGAATCTGCAAGAGATGTAAGAGTTACTCCCAGGTGAGTGAAGCACTTTCCAATACACGCATCTTTATGAAAGCACAGAAAAAGAAAAAAAGAAAGAAAGGAAAAAAGTGTTCCTATGTGTTCCCTCGCTGTCAAAAGACATTTTAGTCACTTTCCCATCCGTCATGAATAATTATAAAATCAGCACAAAAGTGTTTTTATATGTTAAGTTTAAAATTAAGGGCTCCAGAAATTCCAAAGCAGTTTCCATGGTAGCTACGATTTGAATCCTGTAGACTCAGAAAATAGGAGGAGAACACAAATCAGGCTTTTCTTCTTCCTCTCTGAAGGCCACAGGGCAGCGTTTGGTCAAACACGCTTATCAGCATTTACACTGGTTCATAATGTGACGTAAGCAACACGATTCCCAACTCAGTCGACTTTAGAGCTGACCTCCCGCTTATCCCATTCTAGTGCTACTGCGCAGTGTTATCCCACAAACCCATCTCTTTCGGATTGTCAGTAATACCTCCTTTCCCTTAATATGGAGCAGTGCTACCAAAAAGAAAAAGAAAATGGAGCCCTGGACATTTGCTCTGCAGCACTGACAGGTCACACACCTGGAAGGGTTTGCAACTATCTGTTTCTTTGCCTATGGTAGTACTCCTTTTTCAAGTGCAATCTCTCAGTCAGTATCTTAGTCTGCTCAGGCTGCTGTAACAAAATACCATAGATGAGGTGGCTTAAACAACAGGCATTTATCTCTTACGGTTCTGGAGGATGGGAAGTCCAAGATCAAAGTGCTGGCAGACCGAGTTCCTAGTGGGAACCCACTTCCTGGCTTACAGACAGCCATCTTCTCACTATATCCTCACAAGATGGAGAGAGACAGAACCCTCGTCTCTCTTTTTCTTCTTCTAAGGACAACAATTCCATCACAGAGGCCCCACCTTCATGACTTCATCATCATATGAATTTGCAGGGGGACACAAACATTCAGTCCATAACAGGTGGAGATCCTGAATGTATGAAGTATGGATTAAATGGATGGCAGATTTGGAATCTACAGTATATTTACTGACACTCTAAGAACAGTAAGCTGGGACATCACTGGATATGCAATGACTCTCTAAGGATCTGAAAGAGGGAAGTGGAACAGCTGTAGCTGACTAAAAAATTCAATCCTGCACATTACAGAGAAGCTGCATCAAATATAGGGGTTATGCTCCAAAGGAAGACAAGAGGAACACGGAATCAAAATTATTCTGGAGAATCCCTCAGAAAGGTGCCATGATGAGACCAAGAGACTCTTGATATCCCAGACAGACACTGAAGTCCTCCAGGCATTAGAGCAGGTTGCCCTTTCCATGGCTGGGCACCAAATAAACTTGGGAGCTACATTCTAGAGCTACGCTCGGCAAGTTATTCACACAATAGGAGGAAATTAATCCAACAAGGGGAAAAGTCATTTCATTACCTATAGTCATTGAACAGAATATTGATAAATTAGCCAATACAATTTTAATTGGTATCCACCTCCTTTCTTTGTTGTGTGGGTGGAGTCGCATTCACTTGGATCAAAGGTACACATGATGAACTCCACTGCACTGAGTGCCTTCCCACCTGTCTCTTCAGCCAGTCATCCTGAAAGCATTTCCCTTTGGTCCCTGGAGGAATCAGGCAAGCGTGGTCGGCACATCCGAATAAATTCATCATAACCATTGCGAAAAATAAATCTGGAGCACCTTTGTGGAGAATTCATGCAGAAGCAAGACTGAACGCTGCACAATATCTTCCTTCTGCCCTGCCATCCCTGTGCCAAGCCCTGTCTCTCTTCCCTGCCATTTTTCCAAGTTTCTTTCAGATCAAGTATTTGAGTTTTGAATTATAATTCCCCAAATATGCTGGCTTGCAACTTCCTGGGTTGAACCTGATTTTATTACTGCTTGCGCATGAAGCCAGCCTCTCCCAATTCTCTGTTAGGCCTTGGGTCCCTAAGTTGCTTACTGCATTTGTCCAACTCAACTCTGGATCCATCGCTGTAACCACCAGGCATTTCAGTCACACAAGTAAATAAACCGCTATAGACAGAACCACAAGGATACTCAGAATTCTGAGAAACCTTACCTAATTTTAGGTCTTTTTCCAAAGGCTTTGAATTATTAAGGTGAATGATTGAGATACTAAACTCAAGTCTATGACTATTAAAAAAAAAAAAAAAAAAAAAAAAAAAAAAGACGATTCACAATTTCCCTCCATGCCAGCAGCTTCTGTGATTCCAAAACCACATCACACTTCAGCCCTGCACACTGTTAGTTACAGCATTTAAGTACCGAATATTGAGGTGGAAATGAAGACCCAAAGCATGGTAATGAAAAGGCAGTCAAAGCGTGACCTTGTCAGATAAACATTTGGACCCAGGGGCAAAAGCCAATACAGCACAGTGTATCGCTTCCTTTTCTGAAACTCAGTCATTCAACATTTCAATTTCTAGGAATTTGTCCTTCACAGAAACGTTAGCAGATGTGCTCGAAATAGACAGGAAGATATTCATCATGAGCACTGCCTGTAACAGAAAAATAATCAGAAATGACCTAAAGGTCCATCAGCAGGGAAGTGGAATCGACCTAAAAGTCCCACCCACATAAAACCAAATTAGGCACATGAGGTAGCTCAATCTCCACTAGAATATATTACATATTCTTTAAGGGCAGGAATTTTTTTCAGTGCTGATCACTACTGTGAACACAGTACCTAAAACGGAACCTGGCACACAGCAAGTGCTCCGTAAATATTTGTTGAGTAAATATAATGCTAAGTGAGCAAAGCTAGTAGCAAAATATTACATACATATGATCCACTTTGTGTAAAATTAAACAAAAGTAATGTTAGAACATACACGCAAAGGGTTGATAACTGCTTGTTGACTGGTATGCATGAGCTCATTACATTATTCTCTTTACCTTAAGACCCACTTCAAAATGTCCATAATAAATATTTTATAAGGACAAAAAAAATTGCAACATTATGCACCAAACTGTTAACAGCAGTTATCTTAGATAAGATTTTGAGGGATATTCTCTCATTTTGACCTTTTATTTATTTTTATTTTTAATTTATTAGACAGAGAAAAAGGAAGAGAGTGCAAGAGTAGGGGAGAGGGGCGGGGGGGGGAGAGAGAGGAAGAGAGAGGGAGAGAAAGAGAGAGAGAGAGAGAGAGAGAGAGAGAAAGAGAATCCCAAGCAGGTTCCAAGCTCAGCCCAATGTAGGGCTCGATCCCATGACCCTGGATGGTGACCTGAGCCAAAATCAAGAGCTCATATAATTAAATAAACATGGGGTGCTTCGATGGCTCAGCCAGTTAGAGCTGTTTAATTTTTTTTATCATTTGGACCTTTTATATATTTAACTTTGTATTATGTTTAGAATTGGAAAAAAATTTTCTTATAGTTATAACTCACCCATACATACTACAGTTGTTAACATACAGAAGCTTTTGCCTACAGTAAATGTAGCTGAAAGAGTATAGGATTAAAGCTACCGTCAAACCACCAAGAACAGTCCAATGTCAACAATTATCAACACTTTGTTATTCATGTTTTATTTTTTTAAGTTTATACACACACACACACACACACACACACACACACACACAAGCGGGGGAGGGGCAGAGAGAGAGAGAGAGAGTGAGTGAGAGAGAGAATCCCAAGCAGGCTCCACACTGCCAGGGCAGAGCCTGACACAGGACTCAAGCCCACGAACCGTGAGATCATGACCTGAGCCAAAGTGAGACGCCCAACCGAGCCACCCAGGAACCCCCTATTCACGTTTTAATATCAGTTTATTTTTTACACAAATTCTACAATACTTACAATTTTGCCCCTTAACTTTGTTCACTCAGCAATACAATCATTCAACCAATATTTACTGAACATCTATCATGTGCCAGACACTGTTTTAGGCACTGGGAATAGAACAGTAATTAAGAAACAAAAATCTCTTCCCTGGGTTCCCAGATGTGGGTTCCCTGTCCTACTTTGGCTCCAGCTAGGGATACCACTTCAGGGCCATACCCGCTGTCTCATTTCCTCCAACGGTCTCCATGCAGTAGCATGGAGTAGCAACAGTCTCTTATGCAGTAGCAACTTTTGGGCCCTTCTACCCATGTAAGAACACTTAGATTCCAAAACAGAAACTTTAAAAGAGGTTGGGGGGGGAGGGGCAGGGGAACCAGACATACTAATGTAATCACCCTTTTCCAATCACAGCCTCTCAGCCGTACTCTCCAGGAAGCCTCTTCAAAAATATGAAACAGTTCCTTGCAAGAGAATTCTATTAGAAAAATCTACATTTCGCTAAGCCTAAGCCCCCTGATTACTGAATGAGTCTAGAAGATCCACTACTTTAAAGTAACCAGAGGGCAGACTCAAGACTAATGAAGGAGCCGGTAGATGGCTTGATAAATTAGTCTGTCTCATAATTTCCCTTCCCCTCCCACTCCCTATTTGAGGATTTAAATATTCAAGAAAATAAGGTGGGAGTTTATTCAAATAAATATGGAATAATGAGGGGCGCCTGGGTG